GATGATCATATGAAGCCATGTATTATCAAATAGTTGTTTGGCTCCTTTTTAAATCATAATGATAACAGAAATCACCCAAATGGCAATGATCAAAAGTTTCCATCCCCTGGAATGTTTGGCCTTGGTACAGACACACAAGGTGACACACACGGGTTAAAATGCCAATTAGAGGTTAATGTCCCACATCTGTGGCTTTTTAAATTGCAATTAGTGTCAGTGTATAAATAGTCAATGAGTTTGTTAGCTTACGTGAATGCACTGACTAGGCTAGATACTGAGCCATGGAGATCAGAAAAGAACTGTCAAAAGTCCTGCGTAACAAGCTAATGGAACTTTATAAAGATGGAAAAGGACATAAAAAGATGTCCAAAGCCTTGAATATGCCAGTCAGTACTGTTAAATCACCTATTAAGAAGTGGAAAGTTCAGGGATCTCTTAAAACCAAGCCAAGGTCAGGTAGACCCAGGGGCAGGCTGACAACTCATGGGGCCCCCGGGCAATAGGGGATCATGGGGCCCCTGTGTCCTCGCCCACACCCAAAAAAGCCTTTGAAAAAGCCAATGAAAGCAAATGGTCAGTCCTCCCCTGTAGACCAAGAAAGATTGCAGCCATAACTGACAGAAGATTTGTCTGGGATTCAAAGAAAAACCCACAGGCAACCTCAAAAGAAATACAGGCTGCTCTGGAAAAAGATGGTGTGGTTGTTTTTAAGGAGTACAATACGGTGATACTTGAACAAAAATGAGCTGTTTGGTCGAGATGCCAGAAAGAAGCTGCCAGGGTATGCAAACTTTTGAGCACATCTGTATACAGTTAGGTCCATAAATATTGGGGCATCGACACAATTCTAACATTTTTGGCTCTATACACCACCACAATGGATTTGAAATGAAACGAACAAGATGTGCTTTAACTGCAGACTGCCAGCTTTAATTTGAGGGTATTTACATGCAAATCAGGTGAACGGTGTAGGAATTACAACAGTTTGCATATGTGCCTCCCACTTGTTAAGGGACCAAAAGTAATGGGACAGAATAATAATCATAAATGAACCTTTCACTTTTTAAGAATTGGTTGCAAATCCTTTGCAGTCAATTACAACCTGAAGTCTGGAATGCATAGACATCACCAGACATTGGGTTTCATCCCTGGTGATGCTCTGCCAGGCCTCTACTGCAACTGTCTTCAGTTCCTGCTTGTTCTTGGGGCATTTTCCCTTCAGTTTTGTCTTCAGCAAGTGAAATGCATGCTCAATCGGATTCAGGTCAGGTGATTGACTTGGCCATTACATAACATTCCACTTCTTTCCCTTAAAAAACTCTTTGGTTGCTTTTGCAGTATGCTTTGGGTCATTGTCCATCTGCACTGTGAAGCGGCGTCCAATGAGTTGTGAAGCATTTTGCTGAATATGAGCAGATAATATTGCCCGAAACACTTCAGAATTCATCCGGCTGCTTTTGTCAGCAGTCACATCATCAATAAATACAAGAGAACCAGTTCCATTGGCAGCCATACGTGCCCACGCCATGACACTACCACCACCATGCTTCACTGATGAGGTGGTATGCTTAGGATCATGAGCAGTTCCTTTCCTTCTCCATACTCTTCTCTTCCCATCACTCTGGTATAAGTTAATCTTGGTCTCATCTGTCCATAGGATGTTGTTCCAGAACTGTGAAGGCTTTTTTAGATGTCGTTTGGCAAACTCTAATCTGGCCTTCCTGTTTTTGAGGCTCACCAATGGTTTACATCTTGTGGTGAACCCTCTGTATTCACTCTGGTAAAGTCTTCTCTTGATTGTTGACTTTGACACACATACACCTACCTCCTGGAGAGTGTTCTTGATCTGGCCAACTGTTGTGAAGGGTGTTTTCTTCACCAGGGAAAGAATTCTTCGGTCATCCACCACAGTTGTTTTCCGTGGTCTTCCAGGTCTTTTGGTGTTGCTGAGCTCACCGGTGCGTTCCTTCTTTTTAAGAATGTTCCAAACAGTTGTTTTGGCCACGCCTAATGTTCTTGCTATCTCTCTGATGGGTTTGTTTTGTTTTTTCAGCCTAATGATGGCTTGCTTCACTGATATTGACAGCTCTTTGGATCTCATCTTGAGAGTTGACAGCAACAGATTCCAAATGCAAATAGCACACTTGAAATGAACTCTGGACCTTTTATCTGCTCATTGTAATTGGGATAATGAGGGAATAACACACACCTGGCCATGGAACAGCTGAGAAGCCAATTGTCCCATTACTTTTGGTCCCTTAACAAGTGGGAGGCACATATGCAAACTGTTGTAATTGCTACACCATTCACCTGATTTGGATGTAAATACCCTCAAATTAAAGCTGACAGTCTGCAGTTAAAGCACATCTTGTTTGTTTCATTTCAAATCCATTGTGGTGGTGTATAGAGCCACAAATGTTAGAATTGTGTCAATGTCCCAATATGTATGGACCTGATTGTATGTATTTTATCTGTGCTGTATTACAGTAACACTGAGGAAGCCCGAAAATGGGTCGTAACGCGTATAGGTGGAAGGAACTGAGCCCTAGACATTTTGAACTGATGACCATCCGGGAGTGTGAGGTGGTGAGCCATGTAATGAAATTATAAATTATATGCTGGCTTTTTTCTTACATTTTGTGTTTTTACTCTGGGTGCTAATAAATGGTTTTATAAATAGAGAGCACTATGGTTCCAGTTTTCTGTTTTCCACAATACATATTATATGAGAGTATCAGCTGAAGGAGTATAAACTGTGGTGATGCTGGGAGAGGAGCTGGAGGAAGACCACAGATGGTGTACACAAGTCTGTCCACATGTTGAGCGCATAATGACCTATTGATGAGGTCACAAAGTGAGGCGAGCAGGTTTACCAGCTAATGGCGGTGACACAGTTGGCATGGTTGGCACTGAAGAAGAGAGATTTATCTGATACACATTGCACAGTGGTGTTATAAGAAACTTTTTCATGGGACTTTATTGTTTTTTTATTGATTTTTATATCAGATATTAGTTTTTTGTTTTTTTGCGCTACACTTTATTGTTATTCATCTTCATAGAGATAGAGCTGAGAAAAAGTCCTTAGAGTTGATTTACTAAAGCTGGAGAGTGCATAATCTGGTGCAGCTCTGCATAGAAACCAATCAGCTTCCAGGTTTTTGTCAAAGCTTAATTGAACACGCTGATGTTAGAAGCTGATTGGCTACCATGCACAGCTGCACCAGATTTTGCACTCTCCAGTTTTAGTAAATCAACCTCATTGTCTTCTTACATTTCAAATGACTGGAAAAACATCCTCTATACTGCAATAAGCTGAAGTAAAATTGTGTTTGGATTCAATGTATGTGTCCTATTGAAGAGTTAATCTCCTTTGCTAGGTTAGTGTGCATAGGGATTAATTAAAATAAGGGTGACACTGTTGATCCCAGGACATGGCTTGGCACAGGGCTGCTGTTAGAAACAATGGGGCCCCATACAGCCAACCTGACAGCCCCCCTCCCCCCCCAAAAAAAATACCCACAATTTACTAAGCTTTAGTTATGAATGAACACAGCGAGTGATTGATATTGATCACTACTTGTATTCATTCAGGAAAGGGACTGGTAAATGTGACATATTTACCGGACCCTTTCCCCAATCTCCATCATGAAGGATCCTATTGTGTGCTTGCAGCTGCTGGTGGGAAGGAGAGGAGAGAAGCCGGCAGCACTGCGCTAGTGGGGGCACATAGGGGGAAATGTAGGGTGCGCAGGGAGGGTGATGGGTGCAGTGGGGGGGAGGGGGCAATTACTGGAACTGATCCCCTGTATGAATCTCCCTACAACAGCAGGAGGGAGAGGGAAAGAAGCCAGCTTTCAGCTGCTGCAGAGAGAGCCCTACAGGGGATCGGTTCCGGTATTTTCCCCCCTGCTAAGCCGATCACCTTCCCTGTCAACATCTGATTCACCCATCTGCCTGGGCCCTTGTAGGATCCGCATAAACTTGCACTGTTTGGGAGATATTCACATAACATGCAGGTGGTGGCGTCACCAGTGCATGCGCTCTGAAGAGACAGAATATCGTGCCGAACCTCCGAGCTCCCATAGCTGAAGGCTCCTTCACGCATGTGTGGCACTGATGTCATTGCGGCCCCGGCCATATAGCTGGAGCCCGCAAAGCCGGAAGGAAGATGGCAGTGCTGGGGATCTGTCACATTGCTGCGCTGGAGGGCTCCGTGTAAAGGTAAGTCTGTCATAATGTACTAGTATGCAGTGCATACAAGTATAGTTGGACCTAAATCTGCAGGGGCCCTTTTTTTTTTTTCTTGAGGTTTACTACTGCTTTAACTTTAATCTGCAGATGAAGTCAATTAAAGCAACCTGACAAGTAAAAAAGTTTTTTTTTTTTTTTTTAATTAAATGTTCCTCTGTTAACCCTTAGTTTACACCAATCAACCCTAATTAACTCCGTATTGTCGTTAACTAATAATATTTAAAGTTTTTCTTATTTTTGTTTGTTTTGTTTGTTAATATTTTTACTCCTTTAACATATATTTACAAATTTCACATTTAAAAAAAAGCAAAAAAAAAAAAAAAAAAAAAAAAAAAAAAAAAAAAAAAAAAAAAAAGAAAAAAAAAAACTTTTTTTCATTTGTGAATAACTTTGCAATGCTTTGTACCAGAATCATAGTTTAAGTGTAATTTTGAACAGAACAAATTATAGAATAAAATGTGTACTTTTTATCTGCATTAACACTATTTTGTGACCTTTCTTTAACTACTTGCCAACTGCAGATATTCGAATGACGGCTACACTGCGGCCGGCCAGTTCTGGGAGGGCATCATACGACGTCCTCCCAGAATACGCCCTACTGCGCGCCCCCGGGGGCACGCACCCAGCGATCTCCGTGATTGCTGTGTCCTACGGACAAAGCTGATCACGTGATGTGGTAAAAGGCCAATCACAGCTGCCTTTTACCACGTGATTAGCCATGTCCAATGACACGCTGATCACCGGGAAATGCAATTGCCGGTTCTCGGCTGCAATTTCCTCACGCTGTCAGAGCGCGAGGAAAGTACTGTCGAGAACCGGCAGTTGTCAGAGTAGGGATCGGCACCGATCATCAGGGCACTGATGATCAGTGCCCTGATGATTGGTGCCCAGCAGTGCCACCCACCAGTTCCGCCCACCTGTGCCCAGCAGTGCATCCACCTGTGCCCAGCAGTGCCACCCAGCAGTGCCAGCTACCAGTGCCCAGAAGTGCCACCTATGTGTGCCCATCAGTGCCACCCAGCTGTGCCCACCCACCTGTGCCCACCAGTGCCACCCACCTGTGCCCACCAGTGCCCATCAATGCAGTGCTGCCAGTCAGTGACACCAGTCAGTGCCCATAGCAGTTGCTCCAGTCAATGCCTAGCAGTGCTGCCAGTCTACATTGTTGTCATACATTGTTTGACACTAAGGGTTTATGCACTTGGAATATGTTTGATATGAATAAGTTATAGAGCTGCTTGATATATTACAATTAAAAATAGACTGTGAAAAATATCTCATAGTAGAGCCGCTGCTCATTGGTAATTTTTTTCAGCACTTTTTGTTTTTACATGAGTGAAGTTTCTTTGATTTTTGATTTTCTGGTTACAGTATGTTATACTGTATGAACAGGGATGCCATGAAAATATCAGATTTGCTGGTGAAATATCTCTGAAGTACAAATTTCAACTATTGAGCTGCTTAGGCAAAATGCGCTTGAAAATAAATTAGTAGTTAATTAATTTTAGTGTCATTTGTGTTTTTTTTGTGTACTTTACTTTTTTGGATGTACAGTATTTAAGGTAGTTTAGTTTATTTAATTTAGTTTTATTGTATTTGTCTTTTTTCCTTTTTTGTGTGCACTCATTATTTGTGTACTGTCACTTTTTTTTGCTTTTTTTGCTTTTTTACAGTTTTTTTTTTATTTTAGTGAAAACAAAATTATTATTATTATTTTTTCTATGAATGATGATAATCAGAAAGATTTTTGTAAAAAACGATATTGCTACAAAATTTTCAGATTTGAATGCAACTATCATTGAAAGTACAAGCTTCACTCATTTGCTTAGTACAAATTTGATGGGAAATTTGTTTGTGTTTTATTTATTTAATGGGTGTCTGGGGTTTTTTTAAATATATATTTAAGTCAGTTTTGTTAATTTTATTTAGTGTTATTTGCTTTTCTAATTTTTTGTTTTTGTACTTGTGTTCTTTCTATATACTGTATTTAGGTTAGTGTAGGTTACTTCATTTAGTATTTACTTGTATTTGTCTTTTCACTTTTCTGTGTGTACTCAGGCATTGTTTGTGTATTGTCACTTTGCTTTTTTTTTTTCTTTTACTTTATGATTTTACTTTCTGTTCAAAAAATGTAAAATATTGAGGCAGTAAGGGTCTATTTTTTTGGAACGAGAACAGCTGCAAGGCTGCTGAATGCAGCTTCCGTAATCCTCAGGAGCCATTGAAAGCCCATTGTATCCTTGAAAAGCACACCAAAAAACACTTTTAAAATAAAAAATTTAGGGGAAAAAGTGAGCCTGTGGGGTTATTTACTAAAAACTAGGGAATGCAAAATCTGGTGCAACTCTGCATAGAAGCCAACTAGTTTCCAGGCTTTATTGCCAAACCTTAATTGAACAAGTTGACATTAGAAGCTGATTGGCTACCATGCACAGCTGCACCAAATTCTGAGTGCTCCAGTTTTAGTAAACCAACCCCTGTGCAATTCCAAGTGGATTACTGTCTTGGGACAACCAAAGAAATGCCCCCTATTTTTGGAAATGTACTCCTTCTTCCAATGCAGACATTTGTTCTCATGATAACTGTCTAAGGGGGAATTTTTCTTACTTTATCTTGAGTCTCATTTAATTTATTTTATGCATGTTATTTACCTGGAAAACCTCGCTTGTGTAGACATCCACAAGGCCTGAGACTGCTGCTGGGCCCCACCATCTTGGATGTAGAGTCAGTAGCCCGCCAGACTCATATCATGTGGAGAGTAAAGATGAGCTGATGGTTTTGCTCCGAACACTGGCTGGTACTGAATTTTGGCTGTTTGGAAGGTTCAACAAATGGGTGTCCCTTCTAATGCACTTGAGAACAATCCTAGTTATTTGCATACAAGGGAGAGGTGCAGCGCTAGCTATGTGAATATACTTATATATCTGATAAACATACATATAAATCAATAAAAAGTGCTATTAAAGTGCAGAATGGTGACTAAATGATGAATTCAGTCCATAACGTGCTCAGAATCCAAGAGAGTCCTTTAAGAGCTCCAATCCCTGGATTCGTGGATGAGGTGAATAAAAGGTAAAATTGCGCACTCACCAAATGCGCAATTCAAATGCGCATTCAAAGCTGATATTCCGAGGTCACCATATGGATCTGGTCAGATCTGGTCACAGAAAGCCCTCCGCCACCTGGTAGTGTACTCCACACTTAGAGCTGGTAAGCTAACCCTCTATGACTACGTGCCTTCGCACGAAACGCGTCAAGAGCGGCTACAAGCAGTGTGACGTCACGCCGACCGGCGCCACGAGGGCCCCGGCGGCCCATCCATTACATATCCACTGTATGGGTCAGTATCCTTCCTGCCTCTGCCTGTATATTACTGTGTGTTTTTGGGAATAAATACCCCTTACCTATCTGGTATCACACTATTTGGCCTCCTTTGTTCTTTGGGCTCTGTTGGGAGTCCTTTACATCTGCAGAGCGGCCTTTTCCTCTAAGTGTGGAGTACACTACCAGGTGGCGGAGGGCTTTCTGTGACCAGATCTGACCAGATCCATATGGTGACCTCGGAATATCAGCTTTGAATGCGCATTTGAATTGCGCATTTGGTGAGTGCGCAATTTTACCTTTTATTCACCTCATCCACGAATCCAGGGATTGGAGCTCTTAAAGGACTCTCTTGGATTCTGAGCACGTTATGGACTGAATTCATCATTTAGTCACCATTCTGCACTTTAATAGCACTTTTTATTGATTTATATGTATGTTATCAGATATATAAGTATATTCACATAGCTAGCGCTGCACCTCTCCCTTGTATGCATTTTATTGAGAAGGTTCATATGGTACCTCTTTGGTGTTCAGCTGCTGTTTTCTTCTTTTACTTTGGGATTTTATATTAGCTGTTTTTAAGCGCTCACTTATTTTGAAAATTACCGTTGACCTAATCCTAGTTATTTACTAGGAGTTCTTTGGTATTTCCATCACCAAAGGTTTGCCATTTTACTGGGTCCGGATCTATATATTAATTGGTGTTATATTATGAGCTGAGTGTCTGTGCAATTACTTCCCCAACATGGTAATCTGTTATTATTATACAGAATTCATATAGCGCCAACAGTTTGTGAGCGCTTTACAACATGAGGGCAGACAGTACAGTTACAATAGAATTCAATACAGGAGGAATCAGAGGGCCCTGATTCTTAGAGCTTACAATCTAAAAGGAGAGGGTCAAGTGATACAAAAGGTAATAACTGTGGGGGATGAGCCGATGGAGAAAATACATGTACAGTTGTTAGTTGGAGGCAGGATAGTCTTCTGTGAAGGGAAACATTTTAAGGGATCGCCTAAAAGTGGACAGAGTAGGAGATAGTTGGATAGATTGGAGTAGGGAGTTCCACAGGATGGGAGAGGCTCAGGAGAATTCCTGGAGGTGAAAAGAGAACTAGAGAGCAAGAAATCTTGAGAGGAATGATGACGGCAATTTGTTTGGTATTTTGAGATTAGGTGGCTGATATAGCTGGAAGCCGAGTTAAGGATAGCTTTGTAAATTGTTAGTATTTTGAATTAAGTTTGTTGGGTGAGTGGCAGCCAATGCAGGAATTGCCAGAAAGGAGTAGCAGACACTGAATTGTTGGTAAGGTGGATGAGCCTGGCAGCAGCATTCATGATGGACTGGAAGGGTGAATAGCTTATGTACAGGTAAGCCAATGAGGGGGAAGTTGCAATAGTTGAGGCGAGAGATAACCTGGGAGGGAATAAGGAGCTTTGGGGTGTCATTGGTTAGGAAGGGGCGTATTTTGGAGATCTTGAGGTTGAGATGGGAAGCTTTGCAAAGTGACTGGATGTGGGGCCGAGAGTTCAGAGTCCAGGATTACACAGAGCACCCTGGCATGCAGAAATGGGTTGACAGCTGTGCCATTGATCTTGACAGAGAAGTCAGGGGAAGGGTCACGTGGGGGAGGAAATATTAAGAGTTCAGTTTTGGATACTAAAAACCTATTATTTATGTTGTGGATGTTTAGTGGATTACATTTGATGTAATTTATGCCGATTTAAAACCTGTTTGATAATAAAAGCTGACAAGGGTTTGATGGTAAGCCAGATGCTTACCCCACTGTGTTTTGGAACAACCAGGGTTCATTATCAGGTGTTCCTTGGTAAATCCATCACAGTGGGGTGTGTCATTTTAGTGGTTTTGATCCTATAATTTCATGTGTTGTTTTAATATGTACCAACTCCTGAAGAGGGAGCAAGGCATTTTTTAACTCTGCGCTGTGTGGACGCCCAACACCCTACAGCATTGTTCTTGAGCATGATACACTCAACCTCTGAATGTGTTATTGAGTACTGCTTGGACCTTGAAGAAGGGGGTACACCCTGAAAGCTTGTCCTGAATATCTGGATGTTAGTGAAAATAAAAAAAGTATCACAGACAGTTCTCATTGTTTTTTGAAGACGTCTTGAAAGTTGACTGTGGATTCCTGCTATGTAAGCTTGATACCCGGGACACAAATTGATGTTTTCTCGGCCATTCACCAAGGTGAACTGCATACATTGATTTCAATTTTCTTGTTCATCTGTTGATACTCTTAGATGTGCTCCAGTTTTGTTTTGTTTTTCAGTTTACATTAACATTTTGAAGCAATTCGGCACTGAAATGTTGGCCTTAGAACAGTTTAGAAGTTCTTAAAAAAGGAAGGTATGTGACATCAAAGAATTTTCTACCATTTTGTTCCAACTATGTTCTTTAATGTCAGTGTAGAGGAGTTGAATGGATTATCCCCTGACAAATGCTTTTCAAGGTGTTTTTTTACTTTTTTTGCTCAATTGTGTTTGTAGTTCAGAGAACAAATGAGTTTTAAAGATTCCAAAAATATACTTCAGCTATTTAAACAGGTTCTTTTAACATTCCATATACCAAGCTACCAAGCTGTCTCTTTGTGTTTGTACATCTATGGAGTGCTTCTTTACCTACATTTTTACAATTCTTGAGCTATTTTGCGACATGTTTGCAAGGTGCGATTGTTAACACTTTGGTCCAGCCTTGGGGGTATTGGAAATATTTGGTCCAAGGGGGAAATTAGCCATAGTAGTGAGTAAGAAAATAAGAAGGAAAATAAATCAAAACCTTCAGCCCCATGATGTGGCTATAT